TTAAATAAATTAACTCAATTTATTTTATTATAAAACAGTAAAAAAATAAATTTAAGCGCAAGTTGTCCACAAGAGGTCACCATCATCATAACGGACAGAGATGCGTCGTTGACGTGTATTTATAGATTTAGCGTTATGTTAGTGATTGGCACGTCAAAACATGTGTGGACTTTATAAAAGTGAAACAAATTAATAAACTAACCGTGTCTGCTCCTCGGATTGGTGCCACGTTTTAAGTGGTTAAAACCGACTGCTGAACTGCGCATGCGCGAAATGCCAAAATATAAGTCCAAAACAAACAAATCTAGTGAGAAAAAAAAAAACGTGAGATGAATATACCTTGAACATTTAATGGCCAAAACAACGAGTACATGTGCATAATTTGGTTGATTACATGGCAAACATTTTCACTATATATATATAATTTTTTGTTTTTGTCAGATGTGTTAAATAAGGGAAATGTACGTAATGTGCTGTGCTGATGTTCTCGGGCACAAGGATTGAAAACCATTGTGTGCTTCTGTTTAGAAGTCCTTCAGGACAACTATTTACAAACCACAGAGTGGAAGGTGAAAACTGATTTGCTTGGGCTGGATTCAAGGATAAACTCTTGATATTTAAAGAGCTCTGTGAACGGGGGCCCTCGTTAGAGACCCCTGGTATGCGGTCCCTTACAGAAAAACCACATAAACTTCACATGTGAATAGGGGTGTGACGATTCACTCGTTTTCTCGATGCATCGATTACAAACCCTGACGATGCATATGCATATCTTGAACATGGATTTTGAATCGTGAATCGTCGATTTTGGACAGTAATCGATTTAAAACGCTAAGAATCGAATGAATCGCAATTTCTGTAAAAAATGTAAGTGTCTAATGCATACGCACATGTCCATTGAATGATAAATGTGTTTTAACAATGTCGTTAAACCAAATGTGCGAAGGAAACTGTTAAAATAACCACAGCATTAACAACAACCTTGAAATAAGAGCGCGAGGTTTATCTGATAATCACATGCATGAAAGTAGCGCTAGTTGCTATATAGTTATAGTTAAATACTATAGCATTGTATTATATGAAAATGAGATCAAGAAGTTTTCTCACTGAAAGAGAAGTGAAGAACTTAAGACGTGCCAGGCTATATCTGCAGCTAAACTGTATACACAGCAGAATGAACTGATGAAACGTTAAGCATACATACATACATAAATACATTCATAAAATAATTGTATTTGACATTTCTGTCACTTCTGAAATGATGGCTACGCCGCTGGTGTGACAAAATGTTAGCCTATACATAATACTTTTAAAGCTCTTTTTTAAATCTTGGCTTACATAAATTTCTACATATGCCATGTCGTGCCATAGCATCGATAAACTAGCTTCTAACAATGCACAAAAGTGTTTTTTTCTCTAACCTATGGTTCTGTCAATACTACAGCGAGAATAAAAGTTACGCCTTCTTTCTTTGCGTGAACATTTGGGCTGCGTTATGCAAATCTTCCCACATCGTGACGTAGACATGTGGGGGCGTGTTAGAACGAGCCATTTTAGGTAGGCGTGGTTAACTCTTAACTTTTATAAAGAATATCTCTTTGGATTTGAGACTTTAGTCTTTGCAACTTTACAGATCTTCTTTATGCACCAAGAGCTTGTAACACTCCAAAGAGAAAGGAACAATCGAAATCGCATCATATGACCCCTTTAATTGTGAATCGAATCGAATCATTCTGAATTTGCAAAAATCGTTCTTGAATCGAATCGAAATCGATTCGATGTCTACCCAAAAGATTCACAGCCCTACATGTGAAATATGTGAAACACACATGAAACTTATGGTTTTGAAACATTTTCATGGTGTAAATGTGTGATCACATGGGTTTCATGTGTGTTTCACATCTGATTGCACATGTGAAGTTCATGTTGTTTTTCTGTAAGGGCTAATCCTAATGGTTTTAAATAATGCAAATTATAAATCTACATGGCATGTTCTCAAGTAAATATCTGTGTGCTTTATAGCTCAAAATCTAGCCAGTTTATCAAGCAAACTCAGCAGGACGTCACTGCACTGAAGCGGCCAAAATGAACCACTGCCACAAAAAGTCATCCTCCAGCTGCAGAATTAATATAACGAGCTTGCAATTTCATGCCAGAGAGAGAATCATCAGATCGAGGCGGTTCTGCGGCTCATCCGTGAACACTCTCTCTTGGACAGAGAAACACGGGTCATATCTCTCCTGCAGAACCTTCTCAACGCACTAAAAGTGATATGGTTGTGTTGTGAATTAAGGAAGTAATTCGATAAAAGCTTATAATAGAGTTTCAGAAATCTGCTCTGGTCAAGCTCAGACATTCCTCTTTATTAATTATGACCTGATTGTTTACACAAGGGCACGAGAAAATGATCGGGATGTCAGTCAGCTTACAGAACGGTGGCATTTTCATATTTGTCATTCTTTTGATATGTTGGAATTATCAAACTGATTTCTGCAATTTAATCAGAGTGACACAAAAATGATGTCACTTCCTGCACTGATAAAAATTGTTCTGTGGTGGAGTAAATACTACAGAAAAACAAATGTAATTTCAACATGAAAAAGATTGTTCAGGACACGATTTAAAAATTGTGTATTGTGTCTCTGTGTTCAGTACACAATATCTATTGTATCATTTACTTGCACTTTAAAAGCATGGTTTAATTTAGTTCTGTGTTGAGCTTTGACTAAAAGTAAAAATTACTGGCCAGCTAAAATTACATATTTTATTTGTTAAATTAGCATAACCTATATAAGTAGAGTTTACTTCTATATGTGAAATTAAATATAATTCAGTAAAGTTTACTTTATTTCTTTATCAATGTTAAGTTCAGTAGTAAATAGAGTTCCCTTTCATGGGAACTTCGAAATGCGTCCTCTAGGGGTCGCTATGGGGGGAACGCCTTGTCGTGACCCGTGTCTCGTTGGCCGGCGACAGCCATGACGTCACTACCGGTGCGACTATAGTATAAATAGGCGCCGGGAGCACACATCATTCTCTTCTTCGTCTTCATTGACTGTTTTGTTTGAAGCGTGC